GTGGGGGTGGTGGGTGGGGGTGGTGGTGGTGGTGGTGGTGGTGGTGGTTGGTGGTGGTGGTGGTGGTGGTTGGTGGTGGTGGTGGTTGGTGGTGGTGGTGGCGGCGGCGGCGATGGCGGTGGAAGCCATAAGCATCAGGGCCCAACAATACATGTTACAAGTAGTGAAACAAAGAACGAATCAACAACAACACAGCCATGAAAACCGACGTTCGACCGACCGTGTTCGCTGCGTGGGTTGGTTCAAACATGTATGCAATTGAAACGGCAGAGGTATGAAGTACGAAGAAAAACCGTTTCCGGTGAAATGCTTTACTGTTACTGCGGCGCGGATGTAATGATGCAATGCTCAAAACTTCACGTTCAGGGTCGAGGGCCCCCGAGAAGCCCCACTCTGTTTGAATAAGGAGGCTGTAGGCCAACGGCAGGGCTGCGGACACTTGATCGCGAAACTGGGTTCGATGTGGATCCACACCTCGCAACTGCCTCAACTCCTCTCCAGCCCGAGCGTCAAAATTCCAAACCCGAGCCGAGGTTCCAAAACCCCAAAGCTTAAACAGAAGTTGAGAGAATGAGGAAGTCAAAAGAATTTCCTGAGCCTGCTGGGCGAACGCTCTTCCAGCAGCTCACGCGAGGAGATGAGCCCTGATGGAGTCGCCACAAATGAGTGTCCGCATGTGAGTCTTAGAGATCGGAAGTGTCACAGTCGCAGGCAAGGGCAATGATTTTGGCGGGTTGCGGGGAGTTTGGAATCCCGGGATTTGTTGATTAAGAGTCCGAACCGGCACGTGTTCCGGCCGCTCATGGAAAGATCGTCTCAACCCTCCCGTGTTGAAATAATCCTGACATCGTGCTCCCAAACCGAGCCAATGCAAAGGCAGATGCTTTTTCTTGCAAGATGGGACTGCTCCCAAATTTCAGGCCAGCTCTCACACACCGCACGTGTGTGGTTTGTGCAATCCTCCAAACTCTAGATGCTGCGCAATACTCCGTGAGGTCTTCTACACAGCGCAACATCATCTGTCGTCCGCTTCAAGTTTCCGCCGAAAGGTTCCAGCCATCCCCAGCTCATCGCAAACTTATCAGCCTTCTGTGATCCCGCATCCCGCCCCACGGCTTTAGCGACCGCCTTCTGCGGGCTCCAGCCAGAACCAAAGGAAAGCAATGTACACCTTGGAAGCGCTCGGACTGAGAAGCAGCCCACCGCAACGTGAAGCCAGGAATCTTTCACAGTAAGAAGGGAGGGTTGGGACTCGGAACTTGCACATCGAGACCCCGAAGCTCCAAAGCCTTCCACTTCACTCCAAAGGCCAAAGCGCCCTCTGAGACAACGGATGTCAGGGAGTCCTGGCAAACTGGAATCCGAATGGACCCTACCGACCGTCGCCGACCCAACCCAAAAGTCGAGCTGGTTCTTGGCTTAACTTCCAATCTCAATCTCGAACAACCAAGGCCCAAGGCCCAGACGGGGCTCCGCATTCTGGCGCAGGCCGCCCCAGGCCTGCAAAAGCCAAAGAACTTGGATTTCTTCTACGATGAAAGGCAACCTTCCGGCACGGATCCTACGATCTGCAGGGGAGTCCCTTAATTATCGGCAGCCCTCACTTGACATCGGGTTGTGGGCGTGGGATGTTGCGTGTCCGACTCAAACAGTACACCGCCTTTTCCAGAAAAAAGAACACCCGGACTCTGCTCCGGCGGCTGCTTCAGCGGCCTCGCGGTGGCGCCAGAAAGGCGCTTCAATGTCCTTGCTCAGTGAGTGATCGCTGCGGCCACACCTTCTGACACACTAACCTCCCTTGATTCTTGCAGCAGGGCCACTCAGAACATGTGCGCAGACTTCGGCCAGGCGCTTGGAACTCGCGCACTCGGAGCCAAAGACCAAGGCGAACAAAGGCGAACAAGCATTACTTCCTTTGACTTTCGTGGCTTTCGTGATCAGTAATCAAGTTCAGTCTGGCGAGTACGCTCGTCAGGCCCAGATGTGTTTCTCGCAGAGCTGCTTCACAGGCAATGTCGCGTGACTGGCACTCCTCGCTCCACTCTCTGCCCAACGCTTGATGCGGCATGTGCTTGGCAGCAGCCGAGCCTCTTTTTGCTTCGATCTGCAGACACCTCGAAAACATCAATCAAGCACTTCACATCTATCTTTGAGGGATGCCATGGAGCTAGAGCAGCTAGAATGGCGAGCCATGCCAGCAGGAGCCACAAAACATGAAGAGGAGCACAGCACACAGACACACACTTACACTTCACATTTGGATTCCAAGTCCCACACTCTAGCTCCCCCGAATGGTCACGCAGTGCAACAAGCACTTGACACAGCAGCTGCAATTTTGTGCGCGCCATAGGAGCAAGGCAGCAAGAAGAGCAAAAGCTCCGAGCCACTCGCAGGTCTGTGGACTGTGGACATGACGGGGCGGCTGCTGGGTCATAGCCGCACAGCATGGGCCAAAGATGCCATCCCTAGAACCAGAAATAGAGTGTCATGCAGGTGCTAGGGCGTGCCGTGCTGTGAAATAAACGACCTCTTTTTGGAGCTGACAAGAAGGTAGACTGTCTTAGCGGTTGTTCCTACACGAACTATTGATTACTGTGGCACTTGTGGCCATCTGGCATCGGGCTTGGGAAAGACCGTCTCAGAAGAAGCGAGTAGAAATGATTTCTTCGATGAAGGACTCTGTTCGATCCTACGGTGGTGCGAAGAGCTTTAATCTTGCAAATCTGTTGAAGATGTGCTCACTGCCCAAGACAGTCTAACAAGCACTTGAGAAGGCCCCACTGCATTTACAAAGACCAATTGCCAATCACTTGAGTGAGAGGTCGAAGCTGGCAACGACTACAAACACCAGCCGTTGCAATGATTCGGCTAGCTAAAGCTGGCTGCTCTGAGCCGAGCACCACCTACGCGCATGCGACTCGCGGCACAGCAAGCGCTTCGCGCATCTAAATAAGAGAGAGTACGATGGCTGTGGTACAACGTTCGGCAGTTGCCAGCTGGGTCACAAGCAATTCTGGTTGAACGAAAAACTTCCTGAAGCTCCCTCAGGATTGCGAAGGAAGAAATGGAGTAGGTGACAAATGATTTGCTTGGGCAAGCAGCAGCGGTGACTCGGCAGCAGCCCTACCGCAACCCATTAAGTTTCGTCGCGCACAACTTCGCCGTATTTTTGATTGCGGAATATGTCTTGCCGGTTCCTGTGCTGCCTGCTCGGCAAGCAGTGCTATGTACAAAAGGATACATGCCATCTCCTGCTGTGCCGGGATGGACCAAACGTCCCTTCTCCTCGACACTGGTTTTGCCTCGAAACCTTGGAGGAGGCCATTTTGCTCCGTGCCGGTAGCCATCCATAGCCCCTGGCCTCTACGCATGTCATGCTGTCTTCTCAGGATGCGTTGCGCCCTGGAGAGCGCGCGTCTTGTGTTCCTCTTGAAAACTTGTCTCCTTAGCCACCACCAAGTTGCATCGACGGTATCTGCAATCTCACACTCTTCTCACATGTTTCGACGATGGCGGTGTTGCCCGATGATGTGCTACTGTCGCGAGTAAGGATCACCGTTACAATGCATTTCTCACGGCTGACTGATCCTTGTTGAAGAAAAGTGTGTCGGTGTGAACTGCGTCCTCATCATCGTTTTACATTTCAGCCCAGCATAGCCCAGCATTCAACTCTGTTTCCTTTGTGCAGCCCGGAACCTAAGCCCGAGCCGAATCAGTTCCAGCAATCTTGTACAGCATCATGAGTAGACCGAGATCCCAGTACCAAGGCCTACATCCCACTGCGACAAAGTTCTCACTCTAAGAGCCCTCACAGGTTTCAACGCAACAGGTCCAAGGTTCAGTGATGGAGTCCTGTGAGTTGATCACCTCCAAGATCCCAAGCTCACGGGGAATCTTGTACGGATCGTAGGACATCTCATCGATAAGAATCTGGCATGCGCGTGGAGGCGGAAGATTCACAAGAGTAAGGAGCAAGGCGGCTTTGCCCGTGCTTGACAACAATTCAATGCCCACCTACTGCCTTCAAAATCAACCTGGCATGAAAAGGAGATCGATGTCAAGCGTCAAGCGTCTAAGACTCTACTCGCTTTCCAAAAAGGCCACTTCGGAAGCCACAATGGCCGAATCATGCTCCATCTTGTCTGCACAGTCTACACCCACAGCTTCACCACTGGTGAGATGATCAAGTGCAGAGAAAAGCCTGGCAACTCTGCCAGAACATTCACATACGCCTCGCCTTGCCGCAGTCAGTGACCTTGTCCACGGAACCGGTGACCACCTGCAGTAACAGAGGTATCGGTATCGCACACCATTCCGGAGCATGGGGTCGTGTCTGCATTTGCGACAATAATTACACTGTGCTGTGCATTTTCTCATCTGGCCACCTTCTTGATGCAAAGCGCCTGAATCAAGTCCTCAAGTGCCGCTTCTGCCAAGCGGAGGCTTCATGGTCAATGGAACACTCGGAAAAACGTCCTGCGGGACCACCCATGGAGCATCCTTCAGCACGAAAGACCTGAGCCGCGGCAAGCGAAAGCTCGTCGCATGGGGACCCCGATCTCAACAACTCTTCCTGCCGGGCAAGCGACACAAATCGGCTCTGGAGAATCCGACCAAGGCGAGTCCCAAAGTTCTCATGGCTCGGCTTTCCGAACAAGTCGTTCCTTGCAGGGTCATGCGCGGGAGGCCGGGAGGGGTCCGGGGTCCCACGTTGCCGGCACTTTTGCGGTGATTTGCGGTGCTTCATGTGCTTCCGGGTACGCGCAGAACTCGCACGCAAGGATTTCATTTCGCCAAACCACCCCAAAATCCCAAAGCCTCAAGGTCAAGGCAAGCTGCAGCGTGGCATCAGAGTGGATGCCGACGAGAACGTGAGACCCACGTTGCTTCGCCTCCTGAGAAGACAAGACCGCCAATTACCAGTTTCACATGGCACCTGACAAACCCAAAGCGCCTGACAACTACCTATGCTCTGATCCTAACCCCAAAGGTATTTCTTGAACTAAGGTTCTTGGACTTCAGGAAGGCAAAACATCGAGGATTTGTCCGAGCATCTTTGGTGATCGTTCTAGCTAGGTTATTCCTGAAACACAGAGGCTCTCAGATTCTCGGAAGAGCCTCGAACTAAAGGCGAATGCTCACATTATTGCTATCGTGACTGATACGGCTAAGTAAGTGCTATCGGTACAAAAACTCCAATCTTCTCACTCTTGATGCTCTGCAAAATCATTTGTGGGTCCCATCGCGTGGCCACGAAGCGCGAAGAGGTAAAGTCGCCCGTTCCCCCGCCCCGCCACCCCCGGATGTGGCTCCCGGAGGATGCGCTGGTGCCCTGGATGGAAAAAGTTCCAGGCGCCGTCGACCTGAAATTGATGCAGCGTTGATGTTTGCGTTTTAGCGTCAAAGTTACAGCTACTGCTGCTGCTGGAGCCGTCTCTCAACACGGCCAACTGGAGCAGGCTTTGGAAAAGCCGAGGGCACCATTGGCCCCGGGTGCTCGGTCGACAGCAGAGCAGGCAAGAGGCATAGACCACGTCGTCGCAGTCCCACGGAGATTCTGTTGTACCTTGCGATTTAAGAATTAGAGTGGCTTGGCCACACTTGCAACAAGTTCGTAGCTGGCAGAAGAAGCAGCTATGAAGGTCAGACCGCAACTCCACTGTGGCACCAGATCCTAGGAACTGAGGCCTGTGTTCCTAGCCTGTCTCCAATCCCAAACGGCACCGTCTGCGAGCTCCACCAACTCGGGCCAAATTGAGCCACTTAATGCCTGCAGCGCAGATCAAGGAATATCAGCTTCAGCGTATAGCAGTTCGATTCGAAGTACCGTACCGTCAGGGTGGCCGCCCTGAAGCGGAATTGTTTCAAAAGTTTGCCGTCGGCATAGGCCGGACAGGGCCGAACATCGGCACAACAAGAAGAGAGCGCAGCAAGAACAAAACACCGGAAGAAGCAGGCCTGTGCAATTGTGGGCCCGCACACAACCCTAACTCACATCAGGCCTGCACATGGACTACATGGGAACCAATAAGCTGTACAATGCTTCGTGTACATGTGAGAGTCGGGTGCACTGCCAAACCCAGCCCAAGCCGGAACACCCGTCACATCTCCACTGCGGGCACTGATGCTACAGTGACTGTGCTGGTTGGCTGTTGCGCACTCTGCCTCGCACACCTCATCCGGCCTCGTTGGGCGATGCAGTGGCCTGGAGCTGCTTCGGCGGCTCGACGAGTTCGCCTCCAACTCCTGAGCCGACCAAAACAGCCCAAAATGATTAGCTGTACGCTTCGGTGAACCCGGAAATGACGGCCTACCGGCTCTGAGCGGCACAACGCGCTGAGCTACCCGGCACCTAGAAGACTGCCCATCGCGCATGCACACATGTATGCTGTATGCTTACAGGCACCTACACAAATGTATGTATCCGTATTTATACCACATACATTCATGCATGCTTGCATGCAGGCATGCACACGTACACACATACAGACATACTTACGTACATCCATCCATCCATCCATCCATCCATCCATCCATACATACATACATACATACATAAAACATACATACGCACAAAAGCACCTATGTACGGCGAAGCATACATGTTGTGGAGGTATCGTCTCATGTGCAGCGGGAACCGTGCCGTGGATTAATACAACTAACGCGTCAGACATACTGCACTAGTCACTTTTGAGAAATACTGCGTGGCATCTCATACAAGATGTCCAACATGATGTTCCACATGATGCAAGAGTGGGTAGCACCAGTCTCACATGATAGATGACTAGATAAGTAGATATGTGTACATAGAGATAGATAGGTAGATAGATAGATAGACAGACAAGGATAGCCAGGTAGAGACAGAGACACAGGGAGGGAGAGAGAGACAGACTGTCTACAGAGCGAGGGGGCCGGACATACGTCCCACAAAAAGTCAGACTCTAGTGTTTTGCTGACTTTCATTGACTTTCCTGGAATTATTGAATGAACGGGCTATAACTGGCTGCTAGCAAGGGCCTGCAAGAAAGGACGCCTCTCTTTCGATCCCTTCGTTGCTGTTGGATCCGTGCATGCACTGCCACATACTGCCACCGGGTGAGACGCCTCGAACTCCGGCCCAAGGTGCGAATGGCGAAGCGGTGGCACTCGAGGGAGGCAAAAGCGAGCACCATCATGTTCGGATTCCTTGCTGCATCAAGGGGCTTGGTGACCAGTGAATTGCACCCAGATCTGTCACACTCCGCAGGAGCTCGAAAGGCAAATGCTTAAGCGCCCTTGCAGTTCCAACCCCGCGCCCAAGATGCTACATTGCTACATTGAACCAAGCTCCTCGGACCTGATTACTGCGTCACTGCTACAGTTTCAATGCAGCTTGGGATGCTCTTGCCGCAGCTTGCTGAGCCAGCTCTGGCACACCTTTGGAGTTTGCTCTCCGCGTCTTTCGGAGGGCTAATGGGCTAAGGGATAGTCAAAGATTTGCGGGCTCGGGCATGTCGAGAAACCATTACCTGGACACACAAAACCGGCCCCGAGCAGGTGAAGCTGGTGAAGCGCGCCTCACATGGCCAGAGTGGGTTCAGCTTGTCCTTGGTATTTAGCAGCCTCTCTGTTGGCAAGGACCCGTGCTTGCACAAACTGCATTCAAAAGTACTTGCGATTATTCTGGCGAGCATCTGCAGGGTCCAGAGTGGCAATGAGGACAATATCTTTCGCCTTGATCTTCGTGCACAAGAGTCTCGCTACCAGAAATCCCATCGTTGTTGTCTTGGTTTTTGCAGGAAGAACTGTCCTTTCTTGCCTAACGACTGCGACTTGAACGTCCTGTCCTTTCAATTCTCAGCCATCCTCCCGTGCCCCACTAGCTGCCCTAGCAAAGAAATCCCGTGAAAGTCTTGCGAAAGAATGCCTATTGCCGCTGGAGTCACGTGGCGGAAGTCGCTGGCGGCCCCTTAATCCAGTGACTCAGTACCCCTCTCGATGCCATCTGTCGAGCGACGCAGGACCCCTGCTGCCTAGCTGCTGACTATAGCCGCCCGCTCGGCACAAACGGATCCTGACGGAAGGCTGACCTGAGGCAACGCGAGCTCGACAGCACGTAGCACAACGCCGGGACAAGCAGCATCACTAAAGTCACTGCAACTCGAGGGTTCAACACAAGTCGGAATCCGCATGGGATTGGGGTGGCCGTGGCCTTTCTTCAGCATCCTGCGAGCCTGACTCCAAAAGCTACAAGCTGCTTAAACTCTCAAAACAAACCATGCCGACTGGCAGGCTAGATGCATCTGAATGTGTTGTTTCGGCGACTGGGCGCACTTCGGGCCTACCTTCACGACACCTAGTTCAGCAACCACACAGGTGCTAGAACCGTAAATCCGCAGCATTAATCAATGCCTATCCAGCGTTGTCACTGGTAGCAGCATGCCCTGTCTGCTCGAAGCAAAAGACAACCCCGAGTGCAACCGGTGCGAGGAGTAAGTGCAATCTTTCATTCACAGCTGCCGTACCTCTGTGTTCATCCCGTGGTATGTACACCAATCTCCACTCTCGCCTTCAGTGGCACGTCAGGCTTCATAGGAATGTTGAATCCCAAGCGTGGAAACTTCACTTCAGCATCAGGAAATGCCCAACTTAAGATAGACACACGGCTTTGACTAGACTCACGTTATGGCGAAAGATAGTATGGCTGGGGCAGACCGAGCGACTGCGGCAGAGCAAGATGGAGAGCACGGCTTTGTTGGACTTGCGCTGCCAGAAGACGTCTTTAGTCGAAGCCTGCCAGTCGGCTAGGTACCTCGCACGCAAGGTAAAGTCTGTTCGGGATCTGCTGAGATACACTGGAGCGAAAACTGCCTCTCTAGGACGTAGGCTCCATCGACTGCCGAGAGGCTCGAATTCTCGAATCAATCGTGCTGTACTGAGACCAACATTTGGTGAGTGCTCCCCATCATTTTTACTCCGGCATCTGCCGCCCCTCTGCGCATATCTCATGTCCGTAGCTGAGACGCGTCCGCATCTCGTGAAGGGCGAGTCGGATTGGAGAGTCGGTGTGCAGTTGCCCCGGAGTCCACCACTCCAAAATGTCCTCGGTAATGCGGACTTTGACAGGGCGAGAAGTGCTATTGCGCCGTCGAACACATCACCAAACCTCAAGCACCGTCCGGGCTGCTCCATCGCTGTACGCGCTGGGTGCCGGAGAGGCAGGGGCAAGGCGGGGCGATGAAGTGACGGCGAGGAGCCTCGGACTCAGCAAGATGAGGTTGGCGAGACATGCATCTTCGGAGAGACAGACACAGAGAGAGCTCTCGAAAGAGAGAGAGACAGAGAGAGAGAGAGAGGGAGAGAGAGAGAGAGACGAAAGAGAAAGAGCAAGGGGCTAGGTCCAGGTAAGAGAATGGCAGAGATCGTAATCAGACCCGCTGCCGTCGCCGCTTGACTTCCGGCAGATCTGCAGGGGGCTGAAGCCGCTCCTGGAAGAGCTGCTTTGGGAATTCACTGCTTGAGTATGATAAGGCTGGCTTTCCAAGGTGTGGATTCTGAAGAGACGTCTCTGCCTGGCTTTCAGGATGTGCTGAGTGGATCTTCGCAGCATGCCGCATGCAGCCTCTACCGGGAAGCAGCTGTGCAAGTATCAGTGGTTCAATGCAGGACCGTTTACTGCTGGATGCAGTCTCGAGCTTTCATGGAGTTGCACAGAGCAGGAGAGCTAGGCAAGTTCTTCGACCCACGAAATCCGACGATTCCCGACACAGATGCTACATGCCGGGACAAGGCAGAACTTGTTCATCCTCGCCGCCCCCCTTGAAGAACATTATCAATCCAAGAAGGGAGGTCCGTGTCCTTCGTCTCCGATGTCATGGAGCTGCGAGCAATGCGATCAGAGCGTGCGGTATGTCCACACCGGCACAAGCATCATGGTGTTGCTGCTGCTGCTGCTCATAACACTATTGGCTGCTGATTCATCGACAACACTGATGAGATGTCTTAGACTTAGCCTCCAACAGTTCATACCGGCACTGACATCAAATTTTAACCAAAATTAGAAAAGACTGCCACAAGGTGCATGAGAACAGCAGAGCAGCTTTCTTCAGTGGTGGCGTTGAGTGCAGTCGTCAGTCAGCAACACAAGCCGATGTTGCAACAAGTTTGCAACTCCTGCCATGCAACAGTCTCATGTAGGTAGCATGGTCCCAGCACAGAGTAGCTTACAGACTTTGAACAATCCTTTGCACACTTTCGCCCCTTACTGGTGATGCCAATGCTATGCTTCTCCCTTTCCTGAAGCTCAACATCCGTTGGACCAGCCCGAACACGCTCACTCGCAAAACGAAAGCTCGGCAAACGCGTGGTCCATGCGTTCAGGTTTGCAGAGTTCGGTGCTGATGCGATTCAGGGCCTGGTGTGCCAACATGCTACGTTTGGTACTTAGGGCGCATGCGATTTCGGACTTGCTTGGATTGATCTGTGAGATTGGACGGATTGCAGCAAGGTGGTTTGCTCGGTTTGTGGTTTGGGGCTCCGGAATCTTTCGCATGTCGTTGTCAAGGACTGGAGATATCACTATGTCTGTGGCATCTCTCCATCGGACTCCCTCAAGATGCGGCCTGTCGGAGGCATCTTCCGGATTCTGGGGCTCTGGCTGCTACGAGCATGATCTTTCTCGAGCATGGTCCCGAATATCCTGCACCTCGCTAGCAAGGCTTCCGATGATGCATGTAACAAGGTTGCTTTCCAGTGCTTGGGGCCACCAATGAAAAGCTTCAACGCTGGCAAACAAGGCCTCAGAAGACGAGCACTCGAAACGGCCGGGGCGCAATTCGACATGAAGGCAAGCACGAACAGCCAAGTTCAGATTGAAACAACCTGAAGAAAGACATACAAAACTAACGTACAAAGAGCAAAAAATGCTCTTTGTACGTGAGTGTTGCATGTCAGATTCATACGGCATCGCTTTTACAGTTGAAGGTGGCTGGATTGTCGGTGTTTGGGCTCAGGCTGATGAGCCTGAACGTTTAGGGGTAAAACATGTCTCGGCGCATGGCGACTCTTTCCATTTCATAAGACAAAAGTGCTTGGTTGCTGCCTTGTATTGATCTCTTCACAGTATGAGCGTTTGACGAGCAAAGCAAAACATCGCTCGAAACGCGCGACTTTCCTGGGAGCTCAGAACAAGCCAAATTCCGACAGCACCCAACATGATTTAAATTGGTGGGGGGGATGTCCTAAAAAAACCTCTGCGGCAACCAACTCAGCAAAAGCAGGCTATCTATCTTGCACAGGTCCCCTCTTGATCTTCAGCAAGGACTGATGTCTGTGACACGGTGCCTGGCAACATTGCTTCCAGTGCTTGCCTTTTGGACAGCCAACGATGAACGGCTTAAAGCACTTTCCCAACACAGCATCTACATGTGTCCGAAAAGGTGACAACCACGGGATGCTGCAACTGTCCACCAAACAGAACACCCAAAGCGAATATCCAACGTCAAGCCCAACAGACGAACACCAGAATCCGGGGGGGTTGAAAAGCCGAGAAGATACACGTCTTTCAACAGGAACATGCTCAGATCCACGCAAGCTGCTCAGAAATGTGATAGCATATTGTCCACAAGCAAGGCCGATCTTTAAGGTGGACTTAACGTTTGTAACAATGTTGAGCTAAAACGACATTGAGAAGCAATGCAAAATCGCATCGAATTTGAACTGCGGATGCAGAAGCAGTTGTTGGCCGCCTGCAGCTGTATCGACCGGAGCTATTGCAGATGCAAACAGGGCAAGATCTCGACATCTAGTTCACCTCTGGCAACCTGCTGCATGGAACGACAACACGCTCAGGAAGGATCGGATGTTGGGCAGCTATAAGCTGTCGAACAGAAACCATCACAACATAATGCAACGACGACACCAAAACGCAGTCCTTGGGTGAATAACAACAACTTGCTAACATGGAAACTGTCATGGCCTCGTAACGTTGAGGTACCACTCTCAGGCTGGCAAGGAAAGAACTATGTTCGCTCTTCTTTACACTGACAGCATCGAAAGCACTAAAGCCGTGGCCATTAGATGCCTTATGGCCATTAGATGCTTTTGCATGCATCTTGGAGCGGCACCCGTTTGGAAGCGCTTGCCAGGCAACGCTGCCGAAGTTCACAGCCAACCTGGACCAGCATTCCTACGATTTCCTACGATGCCATTAAACTCACTAGATCTCAAGTGGTTTGGTCACTGGCGGGTGCCGTCAAGCCGAGCAGGTACGACAACACATACGACACAAAAGACCCTGCAGCTTCTCAGATGACCAGTATTGCCATCGTCAATGTCTTGACAGGATCCTCAGGGTGCTCATGCGCATCATCAACATCAGAATCAGCATCGTTGTCACCACTCTCAATGTCATCCTCTCACATGCACGCACGGAGTACACTTAGCTGCTTGGTGTGTGTTGCCGCACTTGCCGACCAATGCGGGAAGAGGTTCAGATGGCCGCAACCATGCCAGTCGACAAGAACGAACGGAATAATCGAAGCTGGCGCTAAATGTGGTCACCAGTAACTCTCCCAGGTGCGCCATATTGCACCGTGCAGGTACGTTTCCACGAGCAAGAGATTAGTTGGCTGGGGCGCAAACGACTCTCAGCCCCCTCCAAGATAACTGACGTTGTATCTGCAACTGCTCAAGACAATCTGTCAAAGCCAAGTCACCAGCATCTTACCAACAGTTTCTTCAACCCCTGGCTTAGAATTGTGGTGCACACACACACACATCTACCTCTCTCGAGGTGTAATTCTATGCGCGAGGCTGTCTTTGTGCTCGCCACGGCCTCTTATATGTGCTCTATGACATGCAGCGTTCCGATCAAAGTTGTCGTTGGTCATTGTGAAGTCATGAGGGGATGATGCGTCGTCGTCTGTTGCCATCTTGGGGGCACATTGCCAGTTGGAACTGCCGGATTCCCGGCCCTGAGACTATGATGTTATGATGTAAAGGGTTACGAACGAACCGGGGCTGCGACCTGATGCTCCCAGCACACGGAGGAGGCAGTGATATTTTGGGATTTTGTCAGGTTGTGGCTTGTTCTCGTGGGACGAGCGCTCGACAGCAGGGATTACTGAACAGTATTAAAATACAGAGGTACTGAACCCGACTTTTCGAGAAAGGCTGGGACAAGGCATGATGTATCATATCAACAGGCTTTGTGGGGTGGTCCTTCTACCACGATAGTTTATGATTTTTCAGATTCGCAAACACACGAATCAAAAAAACAGCATGACGATCGCACATGCAAGAGCAACGCCCACCACACTGCTCTCATCATGTTTCATATTTACAGCCCTTAGTGAACAATGCAACCGCCAATAGTATGGGCGGTATGGGCGGCAGAAACTGTAACAGGAACAGCAAACCTGATGGCAATAGAGCCACTCCAGCCGAACATTGAGATATCCAGCTCAGATGACTAGGAGCCGTTCTGAGTTCTGGCCTAAACACTGTGATTCTAAAACATTTCAGAATTTGATGTTTGTTGATCCCTGTTTGATTTCTTGTCGAACCCGTGTTTGAGATGTTGAGGTCCAATGTCTGATTTGTGGATGCCTATCCCCGTTGTGAGACCGGTCCAGATGCCGCGGGATCTACACATAGACAGCATGGCTAGACAAACGACAGTTGACAGGAAATTATGTTGTGTTATATACGTATAGAATAAATATATATATATATATATTTATTTATTTATTTATATATACTAAAATGTAATATACATATATTCTACATTGTGTGTTATGTAATCTAACGGTATATTCTAGGGGCTGCGCCCACGGGCGGGCAGCGCAGGTAGAAGCCCGGAGCAAGGCCATGAAGGAGGGCATCCGGCGAGCATCATGAGCACCCGGCGCGCCCGCAGCGGGCCAGGCAGCGCGAGGCGATGTTTTGCCAATTTTTGAGCGGGTTGCGGAAGCCGCCACAGGGTGCGCATCATCAGCATCAGCGGAGTTCGGCAGAGGGGGGCGCATTGCCTTGCTCCGGGCTTCTACCTTCGCTGCCCGCCCGTGGGCGCAGCCCTCGAATATGCTACGCTGAAGGCCGCCGAACCCCGGAAACTCGTCCCATCAGTGCATCAAGGGGGCGTCACGTTCTGAAACGTCAAGGTGGGGAAAAGAGCCTGAGAGCCAGGGCATTTAACTTTGCGTTGCACATACGCCGCTTCACACCACGCAACTTGTTGGAAACCATTTTACTCTCCGCTTCATGCATGCACAGAGGCCATGCGCCCTGCAGAATCTTATACAGAAATGATTACCCATCACCCGATTGCAAGCTTGCTTGCAGTATCTCCTAATCCTTTCTTCCTTAAGGTACCAGCCGTAGTTGCCAGAACGATACATGCCAGTATACAAAACCATCAAGTCGTCTAGACTCAGTTGAGCACATGCTTCAGCCCTGGCAGCAGAAGCCGCCGAATCCTCGATCTCCGTGACAACAAACAAGTCAATCAATGCGAGAAAGCAAGCTCAATGCAGATTGATAGCTACGCCAACACCCCAAAACACCTAAGCTTCAAACCCTAAATCTAGAATCTAGAGGCAATCTAATCTAGAGTCTAGGGTCTCCTTGTGCGAATCTGGGCCTCCTGGGCCATCGAGGGTGGGAGAGGCCGTTCTTCGCCCGCACTCCGACCATCAATGAAGACCTCGGTGCAGATGACTCCAACTGGGGTGTCGGCCGCTGCCAACTACCTCACCATTACGTTACCATCACCTAGAAATGCACGCATCATAGGCACACATTTACCATGATCATGCCATAGATGTGCTTCTAACACTTCACTACCGCTGCAGCTGCGACACAATGAAACTGAAAACGATGTAGTAGACAAGAAACAATTACGTCTGTCGCTGCTGCTGCTGTTGCTGCTGCTGTTGCTGCTGCTGCTGCTGTTGCCGCTGCTGCTGACAATACTAATGCTCCTGCTCAACTGCGACTACGATTGCACCAACGTACTATTATTGCTAGCACTACTCCTACTCCTACTCCTACTCCCACTCCAACGCCTACGCCTACGCCTACGCCTACGCCTACTCCTACTGCTACTGCTACTGCTACTACTACTACTACTACTACTACTACTACTCCTACTCCTACTCCTACTGCTACTGCTACTGCTACTGCTACGGCTACTGCTACTGCTACTGCTCCTGTTCCTCGTACTCCTACTGCTACTCCTCCTCCTACTGCTACTTCTACTACTACTCCTACTACGACGACGACAACTTCGACTACTGCTACTGATACTGATGCTGATACTGCTCTTGCTACTGTCGCTATTACTGCTGCGCCGTGGCAGTGGCAGTCGTATTCATCGTCGCAGTGGCAGCAGTAGCAGCAGTGGGAGAAGGGTTTTTGTTGTGTTCGTGGGTTTTGCTGTCGTCGCGGGAGTGTTGTGATTGTGGTAGTAGTTGTCGGAACTGTTAAGCACTTCACTCGCGGTCTTAGTTGCAGAAACGGCTGCAGCTAACCCCGCTCACAGCCATGTTTTTTTTATTCCGAAGGCTCCAGGAAATACCAGGAGTCCTTGCCAGAAACCGGCGCTGTTCTGAACTCGAAGAGATCTTCATCACTGCAGTTAACAAGAACAGGAGACGCAATTCAGAACAGCACCCATGTACTGCATACCTTCTATACATGGGCAAGAGAACCCAAGTTGTGCTCTGGTCTATGTGTCTTGACTTGCACGAGCTAGCAGCTAGAACTTGAAAAAACTGCGAAATCAATTTGCTCATCGACAAAAGAAGGGAGAGAAAGAGAGGGAGAGTCGGGCGGCCACAAAAAAAGGACAGAGACATAGGCAAACAGACAGGCAGTCGCAAGACACTGATTGTGAAACGGCTCCCTGCATTCGATGGATGCAGCTGCTAGGGTCCTGTCGAGGGCAAGACTCGGCTTTCTGGGCCCCTGCCTCTGGCCGACAAGACTGCGGCATGGTTTAGCAGCGCCCGTCACGGAGATTAGAAGACTCGACAGATAGATGCACAAATTCTCAGGCATCTGTACCAGCAAAACAACGTAGCCGTAGTCCATTGAGTTCTCGTGGAACTTGTATACTGTATCCTCAATGCTTGTCTTTACTTCCCTAACCTTGGGGGCGAACCCCTTGAAATGCAGGCACCGGAAGTAGAATTTGCCGTTTGCTCGCCAACCTCCAGCGTGTAATGTTATGCAAAGCACCTATTCGTGCTCCAGAGGCTGCTTCCCCGACTTTACAATTCTTTAACAGCAGTAGTACTGCGGTTGCTGCGAACAACACGCACTTGCGCAGGCTCTGAGCCATCGCAATTGCTTCAGTAAACCCCACCGGTGTCGCAATTAGATAGACTCATCGAGCTCGTCAAACCCGACTCAGCCAGGTCTACAGAGCTCATCAAACCCGACACAGCCACGTCTACAGAACGCCACGCCCAGCTTGCAACTACACTGTCTGCACAACCCTCGGTGAACCAGCATCTCTAGCGTGGCAATCTGCTTCTCTGGCCGACGCTTACCAAAGGGTTCATTGCGCAGACACAAGACCCCGCTTGACCGGCTGGTCAACCAGCCCGAAGAGCTTACAAATTCCTGCTGTGATGTTGGAAACAGGTTGATCATCCGGTCGTGAAATGCCTCAATTCCAAAAGGCTGGATCAGATTACTTCAAGCAAGACCGCTCTCGCGGACCTTGCATCCAGAGATGGCCCGAACTTCATTGTCGAATGACGACCGGGACCCCTTCCGATCCTCTAAGGAACAGCTTTGTGTACGGCACTTCTTCAATGTAGAGAGGAAAAGAAAGGCTTAACTCATCCCCGAGAAGTCCGGAGATCTCAGGACAGTGCCAGCAACTGAACGTTGCTTAAATACCGAATGAATTTGCGTGCAGAAAAGCTGTTGATGCAAAGTTTCAGCGAGCTTCTGCTCAAGCCGGGACCTCAAGCCGCGAGGTGGTCCAAAAAATTCTCCCCGCGTGCCCGCCAAGGTCGTGGACTGTGCCCTTGTGGGAGCTAACAGCTATCCTGCAAAGGATCCTCGAAAGATGAGAGCCGTAGCGCCACAGCTTCGCTTCGATCGGGCCGCTCTTGAGCTTCTGCTGTCCCTGAAGCCCCTTCGGACCAGGAAGCAGACCGACGTAGGCAGCTGCCCTCAGACTGCCTCAAGTTTCATGTCAGCTGAGACTGGAACCAAAGGGATCGATGAATTGACTTGAATGTCTGGTGGAGCGTGACCCAAGTTGGACCAAGTGGCTCCTGAAAGTGAAGGAATGTATTCCTGACCTTGCACAGGCCGCTTCGAACGAAAGTTCCCTGCCCCTACAGCGATGCTCATGCCGGAATGAAAGGCGTTCCTGCGCCTTCTACTAGTAACCTGGGGCGCAATGCGGCCGTCGAAGATAGGCAATCATTCCGGAGAGACGAACAAATTTACCATCAGATGAATCAGAACTTGGCAGGTGCCCGCCACCTACGTGAAGGACCCAGTATGTACCCAAGCCCGAGTCTGTGGAATTCTGGTTCCAAGCTGCGGAGACGTCAAGAACTGGGCCACCGTAAGGTACGTCCTCAGAAATCCATGCCGAGGGCTGCCAAAGAGTCTTCAAAATCCCGGTGCCCTTCGGCCAAAGTATGATGCCCACTACCTGGTCTTACTGACTCTAAGACTTTGAAACTTTGAGACTCGAAGGATCTCTAAGGTGCATCCTGGAATCAGAATCTTGAGAGGCCTCTTCGTCAGGCTCACTTCTTCGGCTCGGAGGCGCCTGGATGTCATGCAAGCTGCTCACAAGTGAACGGTAGAATAGGACTCAGTGTGTAGGGAGTCTGCATCACTTCTGATTCTCATCCCAAGATTCCTCTTCTCCGGATGTGTCTGACTCCTCGACGAAATCGCTGTTTTGGCGAGTCGATGCTGAGGCCTTAAATGCATCGCCACTGTGCAAGCAGCCTCAAGTAAGCCGCGGCGGGCAACGAAGCGAATGTGAGGTCATGTTATTCGGAAGTACACGCTTCATCCCGTCGACAGACGTAGCATCCGAAGAAAAGGTGCAGAGCAAGCAGCTCTTGTGTGGCTGCTGCCGGCAGCAACCGATGAGTCGGGCTGTTCTGTTGGGATTGACTCTGCCAGAACATCAGAGGCATCCGAGATGGACAGCGCAGCCGCATGGTCCTTGTGCCGAAAGACAACTTCAAACCGAACCGGACGACGAGCCCTCGCTTGCAGGATTCGGTTCACTTGCTGCCACGCGGCAGCCGAGACCACATGCTTGCCGCGATACTTACGCTTCTCATCCGTGTCGTGCGCATACGGACATTCCTCGCAAAGCTGCGGCGGCGGCCCCGATCTGACTGCGAATTGCCAAGTCCGTGCCTCGCCCAGAGGGCACGAGCCACCTTCCAGGAAGGTAGCACACCACCTGCGTCACTAATTACACTGAACCCAGAAGCGGCGCTCCTTAGCAGATTCTGGTAGTCTCCAGCCAGTGATGATAATGAAACCCAGCATTCAGATGTCCAAAACCCGGCAACACTCCCGGTGATTCGCGCTTGGTGAAGCTGCCCGGACCCTGCCGAGTGGCTTGGTCTTAGCAAGATCCGGCTTGTCACGAAGTCGTCTGCGCCCATGCGCGAAGTTGCAATTATTGCCTGCCACACTCGGTGTCACGTGCGGAAGGGGAGCAGGGAGGCAAAGGAAGACGCGGAGGGGGAGCAGCAAAGGAGAGGGAGAGGGACGGAGTGTGCGCGAGAAATGGGGGGGAATTGCTCGTAAAACTCCCCCGAATGTCAACATTGCCTGACTCAGAGACGATATGTCAAAACCTCTGCGGCCAGTTTTTGGTTGAAACTTCTGTAAGTACACCAGTTGGTGTCATCACGGAGGCTTCCTCGTTGTGCTGTCACCTCTAGGCCAGGCCCCCTTTGTGCAGTGCTGGGATTTCTAGATGTAGATATCTTAAAATACTAAAAATTTTAACCCTTGCACACACACACACACAAACACCACAACGAGCTGCTATCAAACAGATGAGCACCAGGGATCTCCGACGGCACCCGGCCTCGAGAGCACTTGCCCTTCTCCTGGTCTCAGGGAAAACCTCCTACTGCAATGGGATGTCAATGGTACTCTTTGCTGATCTGTAAAACCTTTTAAATAAACGCGCAAAACCTTAACCCCGTAGCTTACCCTCACCTGCAGGGCCAAAAAGTCCCATGATCGGCTGAACAGGAGCACCACGATCTAGCTGGGGCTTAGGCTCCTGCTCGAAAACCCCTACTTGCATCAGCTTCGCTCGCTGCAGCCAAGAAACGAAAAACTTGCACAGCGTGGTCCCATAATAAAGAGATTGCCGCATGCGATGCGGCCTCTTTGTTCAAATGGTTCTTTGCCACCGTCTCTTGACGATGGTAAAGCCCCTCCAACAGCTGATGGATGCAAACTTGAATCTCTGACCAACATAACCAACTACGTGTAGTGCGAGACATCGCGTTGCAGCAGAGCTGGGGCATGTTCTTGAAGCATCGTTTGCATCCATCTGAGAGCTTGTTTACAGGTCACTGAGCAGGCAACACCATAGACTGTATCGGCACCTACCGTAGGAGACCTGCCTCTACTGCACATCCTGAGACTCGATCAACTGTAACCCTTGCATCACGCTTCCGCACGGGAGGTCACTGCTATGAAACTGTGGGAATCATCATCACTGCTGTAATATCTGTAATATGTTGAGTGCAAGAACGACAATGATTGGACAAATCGGCAAGCGACTCTCCCATGGTGACACACGTCATCTAGGAGCGCAAGCTCTCTGAATCTCGAACCCAAGTGTAGCGGGCGATTCTTCGGGTCCCGAAGGTCAGATACTGCATGTTACGTGATGCAAACTCCTGCAGCACTGCAACCGTATGATCAAAGAGCAGGACGTAGGCAGCAAAGTCTGTTTTCTTGTAAGGACTTGGCAGAAACTGTACCAGGCGTTCCGGCATCTGGCCCCTGGCGCTGGCGGGATAGTGGTTTCTTTCGGATAGTAGCGATGATGGGGTGGAGGCCGAGGCGGGAGCGGCATCAGGGCAGTGGGCGGCGGGCGTTGCCAGCTGCGTTGCCCTGCTGCCCTGCTGAAATGCATTGAAATCTATCCTGTTCTCGTTCATGTTGTTGGTGGCAGTCTGCCGGCGCTGGTTGGTGGTCCTGATGGTGAAACCGAACACCACCTGTCTTTGAAGTGCACTCCACATACCGCCACGTACCAATATCACCGGCACACTTGTCGCTAGAGTTGTTGACTCCAATGCCCTCGTGCGGCAACTAGGTCAGGATGCGACGAGCATCTACGCCTCGATATTCGCCATTGCGGTTGAGTTTCAGTAGTTCTCTCCAGCTCCCGCAAGCAGACCTGGCAGAGCTCGACGAGCACGCCAACCACGTGGCGGCCGAAGGGCTTGCATGCCTTGCCGATGTGGATGAACGGAACTGATCAATTTGATTCAATTGGTTTACCCTCCACTCAGACAGACTCAGGCCGGCTGCAATCGGTACCTATATGCTAAGTCTGCCAAGTTATATGTTCAGGCGTGTATTCGCTTGTCGACGTGCACATGTTCTGTCATGTTCTGTCCATGCATTCATCTGATGCTTGCAGTACCTTGCTGCATGCCGGCTAGTAGCATCTTTGCATTCTCCGTCCCACTTCAAGAACCACAACACTGAGAAGAAGAGCAAGCACAGCAAAAGCAGACACTCAGGCTTGGCAAGGATTGATGCGATGAACCCTGGACTACTTGCTGCGACAACAGATTGCAGGGTACGGTAGCATCAGAGAGCCATACCCCCCTGCTG